ATTCACCCTGTGAAGGAAACTAGGGACCACATTTCACATCTTGAAATTGCTCCATCAGACCAGCTTCTTTCTGTCCTGTGCTAATTTCTTTCAGAATTCAGTCCAGGGTCTTGGGGGAATTAAAATATGAGTTTATTTTGTTGCCAACCCCCTCAAAAAAAGCAAACACACAAAAATACAAAGCCCATGCATAATTTCTCCATAATATGCATTTTTCATGAATTTTTTTGAAGGCCCATGGTAGTTAGGATTTGTACCCAGGTGGTCTTTCTTCAAGGATCAGCTTGCCAAATTGTTACCAATTTGTAAACTGTCTACCCTCTCCAACACTGATGGGTCCCTTAGCTTCTGGGAGTCTGGATATTCACCCTGTGAAGGAAACTAGGGACCACATTTCACATCTTGAAATTGCTCCATCAGACCAGCTTCTTTCTGTCCTGTGCTAATTTCTTTCAGAATTCAGTCCAGGGTCTTGGGCTGTGCAGAGCTGTGGCTGACTTTCAGAGTAAGTCCAACTGGTTCTATCTGATAGATCAGTGCCAGGGAAAGACACAGCTCTTCATAGTCCATGGCACTCAAAAGCAGGAGGGAATCGATTAACTTTTAGAACAGGAAAAATAGATCACTTGGGTTGCTGAAGCAGGAATAGGTTCTTTTTTTTTTTTTTTCTTTAGGGGTTTTTGCTATAGGGCACATGCACTTGCCAGAAAGACAGAGAGACAGAAAGCGAGAAATCACATCCCCCCCTCCAGGGGGGATGGCCACACTGCAATCCCTTCTCCTCCATTCTCCTCTCAGGATCCTGGGCACACACACACACGCCCGGTGTGAGTTTAGGCCACCAGGTCCAGGACTCGAACTGCGGTGGACTACATGGGAGTTCAGCGACATAGCCATCAAACCAGCTGCTGGTCCCCAAGAATAGCTTCTATAGCAGCTCAGAGAAATGAGTCCAGAGAGCCAACTGCTGCATCCATGGCTCAGAAGCTCTGTGAGTTTGCTGAGTAAACAGTGCTGTAAATGACCAACCAAGGCCTGGAATGTTTATCCACAGGCCTAGCCCATGCAGAACACCATTCAGAACTCTGGGCAATATTCATGCTGCTTGAAAAAGATGAGCTAGAAAACAAAGGATATACATTTGATTTCTAGGGCAATCCCTTAACAGGATTAAAAATGCAAAAGAATGCCTTTGAGAACTGTTTCTATACATTCTCAAAATTCGCCCTATATTGTAAGAGGAGCAAAAGAGAAACTGATACAGAACAACTGGCATTATTCTATGATGGAACCAAAAAAGCATCCTGGGACTTCACTTTAAATCAGCAGGGAGAATGGAAGATCTGTGAGGTAAATGGTATAATCATTGTTTATAAGCGTATTTCTGAATACACTAAAACTCCTGAGATAAACTTGGCGGTAGACATGGGAGTCAGAAATACCCTCTCCTGGGACCAGCAGTTGGCATAATGGCTTTGTTGCTGGACTCCTATGTAGTCGACCAAGGCTCAGGTCTTGGACCCGGTGGCTTAAACTCATGCCAAGTGCATGTGCATGTGTGCTCAAGATCCCAAGAGGAGAATGAAGGAGAAGGGATTGCGGTGTGGCCATCCTCCCTTGGGGGGTGATTTCTCTCTCTCTGTCTCTCTCTGTCTTTCTGGTGAGCACGCTGTCGCACCAGGCCCCTGAAGAAAAAACCCCCCAAAAAAAAAAAAAAAAAAAAAAGAAAGAAAAAGAAAAAGAAAAAGAAATACCCTCTCCCATCAAGATGTCATCCTGATGTGCTGATGCATTCCACCAGTGCCCTGGAGGCAGATGGCACATGCCTGGCAACAGAAAAATCAAGGCCCAGGCATGCAGGTTTTACTGTAAAAATGTGAGATGCACTATGTGTTTCCATCTTGCTGTAAATCCTCATAAGATGCTACTTCATTCTAAATTGCAGCCCCAATTCTCAGGATAGAAATAAGAATGTTTAAGTGATTTCCAAGTATAGAGCTTATTGTTCAGTATTGCCAGGCCAGGCAGCACTTTACACAATTAAAAATGATCATTGATAGCAATGGAAAAGAATTGGGTAGCTCTCCAAGTGCAAACAGGGAAAATCTCTAAGATACAGTATTAGATTAAAAAACACATGGCGTATACATACATAGGCATACTGTGTAAATTTCCTGGCAGGCTACACGAGAAGCTATTACAATGATTACCCTGGGAGAGAGGGACTAGAAATAGAGAATAGGATAGAAAAGGAAGACTTTCATTTCTCATCTCACACGTTACTGGAGGCTTTGAATATTTTTCCACATGTGTCTATTACTTCTACATCCAATTTTAAAACAAAAACTTCTCTTACCTACTATCATCAACCACTCAGAATAGAAGATACTCCAATTTTTTTAAAGTAGGAAAAGCGTAGTCCTATGCCCATACAGTTAAGTTTTAATTAGCTAAAGCAAAACAAAACACAAAAACTAACAAACATAAAATAGGCCACGCTATAATGCATAATGTAAATGTTTAAACACACAAGTATAAAAGTTTCTAAACAATGTGTAAAAAATAAAAATAATAAAAGAACAGGTATGTTCCCCCAAAACATCCTAGTGATGATGTCACTAAGACCTCTTAGTTCTAATGGCTCACTCCAAGATGGCAATGGCTTTGCAGCCTGTCCAGGTGTTGAAATGGGTGATGGATGTGGATGGAAAACAGTGCTGCGATGATTTCCATTAGCTGGTCCATGTACCACCTTCCTTTCCTGAGAGAGATAAATAGTCTCTCATCTATGCCAGACATAGGGCCCTACCAAGGGGCCTCCTGAGAAGGACCGTTACCCACTCTTTCTTTTGAAGGAAGACTGTCTACCTCCCGTGGCACGTAATTGCCAGAGTGGGATGGGATGTGTGCGAGTGCTTGCCTGTATGTGTGGCTTGTGTGCACTCACTAATTTCAGGAGTATTCTGCCAGAAAAAGAAGCATCAAAGGATAACAAGGGATGTGAAGATGCAGAATCAGAGATAAAAGAGACCGAAATGTACTAGCAATCACGGCAAACATCTAACTTGCATAAGTGAAGCCAATTACTGTATTATTGCCTGCTTTTGCACTGTGCACAGTAGGGATGTCACTGGATAATGGTTTGCATGTAGAGTTAATCACTTTGATGCATTTCTGACTGATCCCAGCAAATTATGTTTTGGTTCCACTATATTAAACACAAGAGCCGGGGATTATCATTAATAAATCTAAGGCACAGCATGCATAAATCTTGAATAAATCAAATATCAATTACATAGGCAGTATCTGCTGACATCTGCTTTCATCAAATAATATATTTGAAATAGGTGTTATTCCAATTTGTTGAAGTCAAAGGGATCTTTGTACAGGGAGCATAGACCCTGGACCCCAATGAGGAAAGCAGCTGAGCCTGCCCCTTTGTGGCACTCAATTTTAATCTGCAAAGACTACATTTACATGACTGCCTGGAGATCCAGGGGAAAGCCATCTTGCTGTGAGAAGTGCTTCCAGCTGAATTCCATTTTTATCTAGGAATTTTTTTTAATCAAACAGGAGAGATTAAGGTTAGAAAGGAGAAAAACTTCCTAAGAACCTGACTGTCAGGTACAGTAACAGACCACTGAGAGGATGTAGAGTGACAACACAGTAGAAGAAGGGAAACCCACTCAGGTATGAGGAAAGAAGAATGTTAATGATGGAAAGACCTCTGAAGATGAGTGGTCATGAGGACACATATAGGGCTTACTCAAGGAGAGGTAGGTGGTGAGGTGAAAGGGAGTTGCCATCTACCGAGTGCCAGACATTGGGCAGACCTCCAGGTGGGTAACTGCATCTCCTCTCTTAATCCCTGTAACCTCCCATATCAGAGAGATATTAGTGTTTATTCTTATTATATGGAAACTGAGGCATGTGAAGTAAATTAACATTCCTAAGGCCACATGATTCTCAAATGGAACAATAGAATTTAAATCTGTAGCTATTTTATGATGGCACTGGTGGTCATGGTGGTCACAGTAATGTGTGTGTGTGTGTGTGTGTGTGTGTGTGTGTAGAAGAGGAAAAAAACGTGTGCACGTGATGCAAGGGAGAGAAAGAAGGCCATGAAAATTGTATCTGTTAATTTTTGTTATTTTTAAAATTCTTCTCTCTCTCATTCTATCCCTCTTCTCATTCTTTCTTTCTCTTCCTTTCTTTCTTCTTTTTCTTTTCTTTCAAGATAAGCACCTTCAGGACCAGCAGATGGCATAATGGCTACATTACTGGACTCCCACATAGTCGACAGCAGTTCAAGTCCTGGAGCCAGTGGCTTAAACCTCACACAGGGCATGTGCGCCTGCATGCCAAAATCCCAAGAGGAGAATGGATAAGGTATTGTAGAGTGGTCATCCCCCCTGGAGGTGATTTCTTGCTTTATGTCTCTCTGTCTCTCTGGCGAGCACACACACACTCTACAGCAAAAATAACTCTCTCAAAAATAAAACAAAACAAATGATAAGCACTCTCAACCGAGTCACATGCTCTAATCTCTCTTAGCCTTTCCCAGCCAGTCAGGGTCATGAACACAGAATGACCCAGAACCAAACTGATCTTCCACATGGCTTTCAGCATCACAGAGCACTGCATTGCTACTATGCCACTTTGGCTGGGCCTGTGCTTATTTGAAAACAAACAATAAGTATCTTTAAGTCATACATCAAGAGAGAGGAAGGGGTGACTCTACTTCATCACATTCCTTACATGTGGCCTTGCATCATTGGGTCAGAACCCTTTCTGTCTTGGATGTTTTTTTAAGGCTCCTTGTGGGCCTCTTCAAAGAATTTTCTAGGGTTAACTTCATTCTCAGGGAGGGTGGAGCTGGGTTAGGAAATGTTCTCTAGGGCACTGGCTCATCATGACAGGTAGAAAACAATTGCCTCATAGATAAAGTTCAGGCGAAGCAAGAGTCAAGACCAGAAATGAAATAAGCCAAAGCCACGCACCTGAAGCAGTCCTGAGGCCTCTGCTAAGGGTGGAGATGGTACTTCAGAGAGACGGGTGGAGTATTTCCCACACTGCTTGTCCCAACCTGAGCAGGCAAACCTAGGAAAGAACCCAGAGTTCATTCATCATTTCTTGACATCAAAAGACAATAAGAAAACCAAAGAGCAGATGTCCAAATCTGGGCTATCCAGGAACCCTGTAGGATTACATTTTCAAAGCAGAGGTAAATGCAAGTGAAGATCATCTCTTTTTGGACCAAAGATCCCATGAGATGTCCCAGAGGAAGCACTTCAAGCAAGCTGAGCAGAACTCCAACTCTCAGATATCATTAGGCTGCAGCTCCCTTACATACTGAGTGACACCACATCAGACCTGCCTGGGTCTCTTCCCACATTTTTTTCCCACTTTCTGTATTCGGCCTTCTATGTCATAATCTGCACCAGGATATTGAGAACATTCAGTTGTCAACAGATAAGTCAAAGTTGATGTGACATCATCATAGAGATGAGCCTATGTTTTCAGAATTGTAGCTATAATTATAGTCATGCAATATATTATACATAGGTACAGATTGTGAAGAGTTTTTAGTATTTTTAGCCTCTTATATATAACTCTTAGACTACTTTTCTAGGTATCCATAGGCATTTTGGAATTTTCTGTTTGGTGTTTAATTTTCTAATGAGCATCACAGAAGGTTATGGGACATCCTCAGATAATGCACTTGATGCCAACGGAATAAATGGCATCATCTTGGTCAAAAAGTTTTCAGACTACAAAATTAACTTCCAACCATCATGCAAATCTGACCAAAAGAGTATAATCAACTGTCAATGAATGCAGGATGGACTCAAGTCTATCTCCCTTTCACTTCAAATCCTGTCCCCTCACACCAGAGCAGGCTCTGTGGTCTGGTGGTTAAGGCAGGTAGATCTCACATGGTTGACCAAGCAGTTCAAGCCCCAGGTCAAGTGGTTTAAACACACTAGGCATGTGCACGTGTGTGTACAAAATCCCAAAGGAGGGAGAGATGGAAGAGAAGAGATTGTGGTGTGACCATTGCTCATGGAAGGAGTACTTTCCCTTCTCCCTCTCTCTCTGTCTCTTTGATGAATGCATGTACCTTTTTGAAAAACCAACCAAAAAGCCCCTCTCCCACCTGTCCCAAACACACACATACACACACACACACACACACACACACACGCACACACACAGAGCACATGGGCTAATGGGTAAATGAGGAGCCAGAAGTCTTGATCTCAATGGTGCCGGCTCTCTGTCTGTTGACTTTTGCTCAGTTTGAAGTCACACATGTTCCAAGCCAATAAGAAGCCAGAAGAGAGCTGTTGGAGACAGCCATTTTCCAGTTCAATTCAGAACAAGATGGATTAACTTGGAAGAGAGTGAGGGAGATTAGAGAATTTTTACACTAGCACCACAATTCTAATGTGTTTCTCTGAGTTCAAAGGAAGAGAAATTGCATTAATTAGTTTTCTATCTTAACATTATGCCGGGGCACATCTACTAGTGAGGAAAATAAGGTAAGTTTTGTGTATTGAAGTAGCCAGCAATGGCAGATAACAGGTAGGAGCACTGAAAAGGCTACCAGAGAAGAGGCAGAAAACAATCACTTAGAGTTAAAATAATACATCATCTTTGAAAAGAAGAGAAACTGAATACAGAAAAAGTATTAGGGAATGTTTTGTGTGGAGTGTGTGTGTGTGTGTGTGTGTCCAGTGTGAGAAGCAGAGAGTTCAAATAGTTTGTGGTTGTTTATTTTAGTCACAGTCTCTGCCATAGGTAATAATCCAATCAGAAAGATTACCTTTGGAGAAAAATGGATCCTAAGATCCTGTATAAATATTGTCCCAGGAGGCATTACTTGCCATAATTGGGCCTCCCGACCCTTGCAAAATAAAACTGAATTGGAACAATTTTGATTGTAGCCTCTGTTGGCATTGAGAATGAGTCATCAGGCCTGGAGCCATTTGAGAAGGTCCAGGATTTGATCTTGTGTTGACCTGAACACAATGGCTGGCTGGAAGGTGAGGAGTGGCAGCAGTGATTGTTTTTCTAATTCTGTGAAGAATATCCCTGGTAATTTTATCAGGATTGCATTTAATATAAAAATTAATTTGGGTAGAATTGATATTTTGATTGTATTAATTCTTCCAATCCAGGAACATGGACTGTCTTTTCACTTTTTAGTATCACTTTCAATTTCTTTTTTAAGTTTCTCATAGTTTTCCTTGTAGAGATCTTTAAGTTATTTGGTTTGGTTTAATTCTTATGAATCTTATTATTATTTTCTGTGGCAATTGTAAATGTGATTGCTTTCTTCAATTCTACCTTAGTCTATTCATTGTTCGGTAGATAGAAATGCTATGGATTTTTATATGTTGATTTTGTATCCTGCCACTTTATTGTATTCATTTATCACCTCCAGCAGCTTATATTTTTTTAAAGAAGTCAGTTAATATTAGAAAAGTATACTCTGATGTATAAATATACTAAAAGTATAACTGATACACAAGAATCACTAATTCGTTCATTCACTCATTTTGCAAATATTGTAAATGTGTTTTCTGGTCTTTACTTTTCTACCAGACTGAGGATGTTGGACATAAAAGTTAGAAATACTATCATCCAAATAAATAAGTTAAGGTCAAATAACTAGGGTGACACGAATCTTGCAAATTCCTGTACTTCGATGACAAGCAGGGTAAGAGCCAAAGTACAATGTATCAGTCTAGAGACTTATTCTCAACTTCATTTCTGCAATCAACTATGCAATTTTTGAACAGGCCACTTCATGTCAACTTTCAGTAATCTTACCCATAGAGTTGAGCTAGATGATCTCCAAATATTCATGATTTAGAAATTTTTCTTTAAAAAGTCTTTTTATTCTCAGAAGACTAAAAATATCAGTAAGTTTGAGAAAGAAGAATGAAGCCTACGGTCACTAATAAAGGGAGTGAAGTTGGGCACATTTTTGGTTGTTTACATCTGTGTCTTGTTACAAGAGTCTCCACGTCACTCTATGTTGTTATGTCTCTATGCAACACTGAATGTTTGTCTGCTTCAGAAAGGTCAGAGGATGGCCATCCCCAAACCCCTTTGATCCTCTATCACCATATCCAATCAGCCTGCCTCGTCTGTGAGGACCTGCGAGTGGAGAGAGTACAGACTCTGCTGGTGTATGGATGTGCATGTCATTTACCAAGGATGCTCACATGCACATCTACACTCTGCAATAATTTTCCTAGCCATTCTGTTTACAAATAATATCGGTTCATTGCCAAACATACCAATAGCAAAAGTTGCATTGTTCTAACACATAATCAGCACAAAAGTACACACACACACACACACATACACAGTCCATAGATAAAATATGTTTTTCTTCAGCGTTTCCACCATAGGCAGCATAGATTTTTATTTCATCATTTTACCACAACCTTAGCAAGCTTTCAACACAACAGGGTCATTTAGAAATAATTATGTGGGCATGTGTGATTGAACCAAGCACTCTGATGATATACACATGGTATTATAATAAGAAAATTCACATTCCACCCATCCCTGTTACCTAGTTTATGCCATTTTGCCCATTTGAGCAGGAAGCAAATTGGATTGTTGGTTTCCTAAGAAATATTTATGGCCAAAGGCCTACCCACCTCCTGAGATCTCCGGAGCACAATGTAGAAGTCCCCCTGTTCTCAGCTCTGTTATGCAGAGAGTATACATCTCACACCAACACTTCCTTTCACAAATCTCCTCACTCCTTACTGATAACAATGGAACTGTTTATATCCAGAGCTTATAAAAGCTGATCTCACTTACTAGCACCCCTCACATGCTCTGAGAGAAAACATTTTTAAAAAGCTGCAAATTTATCATCTTTCAGTATTTTCAAATGTGACTAAATTTCTTCTGCATTTCTATGGGAGTTGGATTATTTTCTAATCATCCAGATTAGAACAAGAGTGTTACTAATTTGGCATGGACCTAGTAGCATCATTTTGTTTTATAAAGATACCATTTGTTAAAAGGGAATACCCAAATAAATGGCACCCTGGTCCAGCCAATTCAATAATAAATGGTATCCATATGTCCACTACACCGTTTACTCTCTAATATTATTATTTATGGATGTTTTCCTCTAACAAAAGCATATGGACTGGATTGTCCAGGCACGGAGGCATTCTTGGGGGCATGTCCTTGTGCCTATGAGAGAGCCGCTTGACCAGACAGTGTGACTTTGGGCCTTCATTATCAACTCCAACAAAATATGGTCACCATTTATTTGACATCCTTCAGTCTAATGATTCAAAATGATGGGCTATGTAGAAAACTGATGTTTCCACTTAGCTTATTCATTCCAGGCAATGTTTCCCAAAGCCTGAACCAAAGGCCATAGGCATCAAAATCATATGTGGGGACACACTTGTTAAAAAATTCAGATTTGGACATTTCACTCTAGACCTACCAAATTATTATATGCAGAGAAAAAAATTAGAAATGAAAATTAAAAAAAAAGTTTTTCCACTTGTTTCTTCATACCCATTAAAGTTTGAAAAATCCTGCTGTCAGGCCAGTGGACAAACGGAAGTTCTTAATTAAGTAGGGACACTACTGGTTCAATGGAATGTGCCAAGAACAGGAGAATTACTGCAAATCCACAGGCTCACACCTTCTAAAGTTCAAATTCTTTGCCACTCGGAGTGTGGTCTTTGAACCAGCTGTATTAGAAATCTCAAATAAATTTTGTAAGATAAAAAAAAAAAAAGAAATTTGGAATCTCAGGCCCTATGTCAGAACAGTGGAATCAGAATCCATATTTTAACAAAATTCTCAGGAGAGTTATATGAACATTCAATTTAATTTTTTTAAGAGAGATTTTTGCTATAGGGCATTTGTGCTTGCCAGAGAGACAGAAAGTGAGAAATCACTCCCTCTATCCCCGAGGGAGATGGCTCTGCCGCAATCTCTTCTCCTCCATTTGTCTCTTGGGATTTGGGGCATGCACACGCATGTGCCTGGGGTGTTTCAAGTCACTGGGTCTGGGACTTAAACCATAGTCAACTATGTGGGAGTCCAGCAACGTAACCATGTTGTCATCTGGTCTCTCAATTTAGATTTTGAGAAGCACCATTCTAAGTGACTTGTCATGTTTAATTTTTATTTAGAAGTCTCATCCTCCTCTTTCACAGCTCCTCAAAAGTCAGGAATCACAACAAGCAAAAAGGTGGATACAGGAGTATAATTGAATCTGGTTCCTTTTTTTGGCAAGAGATGAAATCATTTTGCCTCCTACCAGAATTAGTGCACAGATGCTCCAGGAACTTAGCAGAGTGACAATATATACAAATAATATCAGTTCATTGCCAAACATACCAATAGCAAGTTATGGTTACACTGTAGTGCAATGTAAGGAAGAAGCGCAATGATAGAGCCATTTTAAGAGGGAATAGGCAGCTCTGAAAGGTAATGAGTTTCTTATCCCTGGAGGAGTTCAACCAGGGCTAAATGGTTCTTAGTGAATGTTCTGTAGGGAGGATACAACGTGGATTGACCAGGATGACTTGTACTTATTCTAGCCTTATGTTCCAAAGTTCACACACACACATGCACACACCACACACCTATATATATTAATATGCTGTACATAACTAAACAGTATTTTTATATATATCTGATTTTTTATTAAGAAATGTACTAATTGAGAAATCAATCTTTTATCATACCTAAAGTCTGAAGACAACATCTCTATGCCTCTATCTCATGTACAAAAATAAATCATCTAAATCATTATTCAGTGGCACTTATTCATGTTTCTTTCTGAGTTCATTCATTCATGAAAAACCATTTGGTGAGGACCAGCAGCTGGTGTAATGGTTACATCACTGGACTCTCACATAGTCTACCGTGATTTGAGTCCTGGACCCCACAGTTTAAAACTCATGCTGGGCACATGTGTGTGTGCTCAAGATCTCGAGAGGAGAATGGAGGAGGAGGAGAAATTGCAGTGTGGCCATCCTTCTAGGGGGGTAATTTCTCGCTTTCTGTCTTTCTCTCTCTCTCTCTCTCTGGCAAGCACACATGCCCTATAGCAAAAATATCTCTCAAAATATATATACACATATTCGGTGACTCCCTGTTATGTACTTAAGAGCAGAGAAAAGAAAGCCAAAATCTGGGGTTTGTGCACCAGCAGCCCCAGCACTCAGAAGCTATGAGGCCATGCCATTTAACCTTTAAAGAGGAATTTAACCACTCCAGGTCTTGGTTTTGTCATTTGTAAAATGAGTAGAATAATACAAGTGTCTCATAGGATTGTTCTGAAGATTGGTGAATGAATATAAGACCCACTTAGAACAATGGCTGGTAAGTTGTAAGAACTGTGTCAATGGTACCTCTCATTATCATCGTCATTGAACAACATTGTTGTCAGTCCAGATTTGGGGAACATAAAAATGAACAAGATAGGTACATCTTTACTCTAGTGGTACACTGTCTGGCTTGAGAAAACATTCAGGTAAACAAGCTCTCAAGGACAGAATAAGCAAGTCCTGAGCAAGGAGGGGAGAACCACCATGATGGGAAAAGGTGCCTCAGACTCAGACTGAGAGTCTGGAGAAAGATCTCAGAGAAGTAGGATGCAGAGCTGGGTTGTGACAACTGAGGGAGAATTTTCCAGGTAGAGAAGGGCTGAAGTGAAGAGTACTTGTTTAGCATTCCTGGAGGTGCTTTAAGTGGTCTTCAGGCCCTTCAGTGGAGTTGAAATGGGCTTTTTGTCCTGCCCTGGCCCTGGCTATAGGTCATGGACTCTTCAGTCCACTCAGCAGTCCTTGAGAGCTCTTCAGGTGACCTCCTGAGGCAATGCAGACTCAGAGCAGAGCTCTGTTCCCAATGTCGGTGCCGTAGTCTGAGGGAGGATGGAGAGAAATTGTTTTTCCAAAAGGCGTGAGTTGATTATATTAGAGGAAGGATGGGCTTCTTTCAAGAAAACAAATGGGAAAATAAACAAACAAACAAAACAAAACAAAAACGTTCGTTTTTTTTCCTTGTATCTCTGCAGCCAACTTCACCATCCATGAACAAAGTAGCTTATCCTGGGCCTATTGCCAGTCTTTCTATCGAATTCTCAGGTCTCTCTGAAATGAGGCCAAATGGTAACTTCTCTTTGTCATCTGTGCACTCGTAATGTTGAAGGTTTATCTGTGGCATCTTGCCTACTCGTGACCTCTTCATCTCTACCAGCTTTTCCTCATGTTCTCTCTTAGGCAGCAAAAAAATAACCTTTTGCAGATTTCACTTACTAAGGAGGCTCTGTTTGCAGATTGTTGTATTTTACATCCCAATTTTTGCCTCCAGCTTGATTCATCTAGATGAGGGTGGAAAACAAGACCTCTAGTCTAGAAGAAAAGTGAAAGCAAGGGGATGAGTGATAGCAGCAAGAATACCCTTTACTACTGGTGAAGGAGGGGCACCACCAACCGTACTGGAGCCACGAGGTCCCATGTACCATGACCTCCTCATCCATACTCCCTCAGCTTCTGTGTCTCTGGTATCCTAAGTAAACAAGGAAATGGCAGGTTATTTCCATTTTAATCCATATCCACAAGAGCTTTCCTTTCCTGGCTTTTTGCTGACAGGAAATTTCTTTTCATTTTGGATTCAGTTTAGACCAGAATAAGCAAGTCCTGAGCTGGAAGCAAGACATGGCTGCTGGACTGTGGGTGGGAAGGGTGACGCACACAGAAAGGGGGTGTTGTTTCTAATGAAAACGGACAACTCTGCAGCTGTGGTTTGGTCCCATATTCTACTTAAGATTGTCATCTAAGGCTTATTCAGTGTCACACATAGGCTATTGGTATCCAGGTTATTGAATCAGTTTTAAAAACACACTTGAGTTCAGATTGATCAGCTCAGAACAGAATTCCCTTTGGTATAGCTTCCAGGAAAACTGTTGAGTGAACAATTCTGGACACTAAAACACTGAGAGAGCTGCTGTTAGAGCAAACCTAATACATTTTACTTCTCATTGTTTACCATCACTATTGCAAATTATTATTACGTGCTAAATATTTGTTGGATTTACTTCTCACTTCTCCCTGAAGAAATATTTGGGTATAGTCATGGATATAGCCCCTCTATCCCTTTAAGCTAAAAAGAAATGAGCACTGATTTCATCCAAGATGTTATTTAGATGAGGGACTCATCACTAACCCTGCTCTCAAGAAAGGTCCAAACTATACCATAAGAAATATAACTTTGGGCTAAAGGCCCATTCACAGCTATTGGAATACTATGAGCACATGAGAGCCCCTGATTTTCAGCCCAGGAAGCACCATCTGAGAAACATACATATTACAATCTGGCTATATTTTATGCTCCCTTTCCATCAGTCTGGGATAAATTGTGTGTGTCAAGTTTGGCAAGCGTGGGTGAGCTAAATGGAGCTGTTAGCTGTCTTTTCAACATATTTATCTGTTTCACTGCCTACTCTAGGATGTCTTTGTGATCATTATATAGGGATCACAGATAATAGACCATTTGAAACCTTACTTCAATTAAAACTTAATCCTCAGATGTCAATAACAGTATTTTATACAGAAGGTTACAATGAAAGCAATGTCTTTTGTGCATATCATTAAAAATAATTTTTAAAAAAGCAAGAAAAAGAAATACCCTAAACATTTTCCAAAACAAGATATTCAATTGTCTCATGAACCTTTGTCACTGTGAT